TGGCATTTTAGTTGGGTTTTATCTGCCAAGTCAGGTGGTTATGTGGGAGGGGACATCCCCGATAATCTGTTGGAATGATAGCCTCCCTCTCTCCACTCTCTTGTTTCCTGGGTTTCATGGGGTGGAGGGAGTTTTTCTCATCCACAAGGCTCTCTAGGATTGGCAGCACCTTCTCCAGTGGCTTAGCTGGAGATCCAGGTGGTCTGACCTTGAGAGCATAAAGTCCACACTTTATATATAGGTCCCTATTCTGGTAAAGGGCCATAAAACACTGGACACGGATATCTTATCCCTTTTGTCTTGCCTCTTATGGAAAATATCCAGCTGAAGAATGATATGGTAATTAAGTGAGCTGTCCCTCTGCCATTGTTCCTGGCTACCTAGGACACACTGTGGCCAAGCTGTGTTACAAAAGAAAATCATCTTTTTAATTGTTGGAGAATACCCAAAAATCTTCTAGTGTTGGATAATGTACCCTAATAGGCTTTGTCTGAATACCCCAAAATCTTCTAGTGTTTAGAGAATAAACCCTAATGGGCTTTGCTCTGATACAGAGGTCAGGTTCCCCATACCCTTGAGTTCTTATTTAGGGTTCGATCCTAGCTTCTCGAAGTTTAAATAACAAGTTAGCAGCTATACAGATATGAAATGACTGATTTTTCCTCTCAAATAATGACAGACCCCTCTAACACACATAACAAAAGTAAGTCAATGTGTGAGGGTGACCTGGCGGGTCCCTAGCACAGCCCCGTGTGCTTCCTAAAAAATCCCATCAGGCTGCCCAGTGACCCTCCTAGGCATCAGGCAAAGTGGCTTCCCCTTCTTTTAAAAGCTGCTACCTGAAGAGAACATACCCTAGTGAATCAGGAATGCATCATTGTGAGCCCCCTCTCCTAAGCTGAAGTTTTCCCAGTCTAGCTGTCAAAGTCAAGGGCTTCCAGCCTCCACAGGTCCTTTTCTGCTTTGGGAGATGCATCCCCTCTGATAACCTTAAAGCTATCTCAGGAAAAGTTGATCTCACAGTTCATTTCACTGTTGGCTAGCCTGGTCTAGGTTGCTGTTTACTGTGATGGGAGTTTATTTCAATCCCCGAGGGCACAAACCAGAAAAAGACAGAAAGTCAAACAGAGGTACACTGCCCTTACTCTAGAGATCCCATTGCTAGATCCAAAGAATTCACACTTTTAGTCAACTTTTAGTGGTGTGAGGTCCACTTCCTACACTGAAGGATCACAGAACAAAAAGGTTCAAGCGGCCACTTACACTCTTTCGAGGTAGGCCCAAGTGACAGCCTGGTGGGCTTGTCACCACGTGAAAGATCCTCCTGTATCATACCTGCCCCTCTCAGGCAATGTGAGGAAGTTAGCCTGGGTGAGCTGCCGCTACCCACCACTTCACCTACTGGGAGGCTTTGAGGAGTTAGGATCAGAACCAGGGTCTTGAGCCCGTCTGGGTCACCAGGATTGTTACTCACACAATAGGTGGGCTTTATCACTTGAGGGTTGACAGTCCAATGACCAAAGTGGATTTAACTAGGGGATTTGATTACTTGCAACAAGTAAAGAGAACACTGAGGATAGTTCCCAAAGCAGTGGCTCCCAAACATAATTGAAAACAGGGCTTTTATTGGGTTAGTTAGCTGAGTCATTCTATGTAGAGATTGAGTACAGTCAGTGCAGGCTCAGTCGCTGATCATGCAGAAGCATATATGGAAAATGACAAATAAGCTCCTCCTGGGGTGGGGATTTTAGTATGGTAATGAGAGGAGTTCAGCAAAATTCATCTCCAACTCAGGCATCTCTAGATCCAGTATTTGTTTTTCTGGGGCCGAGCTTCTCCCTGGAACTTTTTTGAAATAAGAGTTCAAGGTACAATAGTTATAAGTGGGTCCTTTTTCACAGTGCATACCCAAAAATCTGGGGACCCCGGGTTACAAATCCCTGGTACTTGGGAGAAGGTGTCCGGTAAAAGCAACACCAACAGAATAATAAATCACTCTGATTCAAATGATGCATCCACAGATTGCTGAGGAATTCAACCACTCAGACGTTCCTTTCTCCTAAACTTTTCAGTAAGGGCCTAGTCAATATATGTTTGTGTACTATTTGAAGTTTAATAAATTAGGGCAGATTATGGTTGAAAGTTTGAAACCTCTTCTTGTTTCCTCTCTCGTTGGCAATCGGCCCATTATACATGTGCAAATTCGGAGGCAAAGGCATATCAATTATTTCCATGACCTGAAGTAAAAAGACCAATTGACATAACCAGCAGGATTGGTTAAGTTATAGAAAGAATAAAAATTTATAAATTTGTTCGTGTAATCTCTTTATAAAGCCACTAGAATGAAGTATTAAAATGAAAATACTTATTGCTAAAAGTAAGTTTATTTACCTATCTATGAATAGATATATATGTCAGCTGAATGATAACTTGAGACTTTGAATTATTAGGTTGGTGCAAAAGTAATTTCAGTTTTCACCATTAAAAGTAATTACTTTTAATGTACTTTCCACATTTGGGAGGCATAGTGTGCCTTAAATTTGCACATTTATAATGAGTTGATTGTCTGTAAGAGAGGAAACAGGAAGATGTTGTAAACTTTCAACCATAATCTGCCCTAACTTATTAAAATTTAAATACTACACAAACATGTATTGACTAGGCTTTTACTGAAAAATTTAGCAGAAAGGAAGTTCTGAGTGACTGAATTAAAAATAATTACTTTTAATGGCAAAAGCTGCAATTGCTTTTGCACCAACCTAATATTACTATAATTTAAACAAACCTTGGAAGATGCTCTGTGCTAATTAACCAACCTGCAAATGTATGGCCTGACAAACCACATTTCACTACTGGCTAATTTTATTTTCTCATTCAATCTGTTTAAAAAAAGAGCAATTTTTATAAAGCACTATTTTTTAAATAAAAATTATTAAGTCCTAATGTAATTCTTTGAGAAAACAAATAATTGAGTGAAAGAATTAAGTTTGATGTAGGTGCTCGAGTTAAGTGTATAATGATTGCCTATTTACTGAAAAAAGTCTGCAAATACTAAGAAAGTATATACAACAGAGAAATAGTTACAAAAATATGGTAAAATAACTAAATAGACTAGGTAATAAATTACAACCTAAATTTCCTACACATGTTCTTTCATTTTACAATGTAGCCACGTTAAACATACACAAACTCCCAAATTGCCTTACTATAGGATCAGTTTATACATGTCTTTAATCCAAAACAACAAAAATAACAATACAGCACACTATGTCCCTCTCTTGAAAATTCACAGTACACACTGGTACATTAAATCTACTAAACAATCTCTGTAAATATTTTACAGAATATTTTCTGAATATTTACTGATTTCAATGAGCTCATGACATCATTTTTGTGTGTCGTTAACATTCTACTATTTCATGAAATGTGCTTTGGGAAATACTCCTCTGAGTAATGATATTTATTCAGTTAGATATCATTTTTATTGAGCATCATTATGTGCAGGAATGAGAGAATCATGGCCTCTGCCTTTCTAAACTATTTTTGGGGGAGCGGGGAGACAGAGAATAAATAAATTATTAGGTGAAAGAATGAAGTTTGATGTAGGTGCTCTGAAGAAATTTAACAGGGAAATATGCCAAAAAATAATTGAGAAGGGAAAGACCTCTCTGAGGAGAGGGACATCAGAGTGTTAGCTATTAAAAAGATACACAGGGTACAGTCCATGCAGAGCCTTACAGGTTCATGGTGAATGTTTTGTTTATTTTGTGGGAATGGAACAAAGGGTTTTAAGCATCATGATAATGAAATCTGGTTCATATTTATGAAGCATATTCTGACTGCTTGCTATGGGGAGAATGGAAGGAAGAGAAACAAGAATAGAAAAAGGGAAGCTGAACGTTATTGAAATTGTTGATTGAGATATGAGAATGGTACAAGCCAGAGTGGTGACAGTAGAGAGAGATAAGAAAGAACAAATCAAAATGCATTTTGGAGGTAAAACTGCTAACAGGATTTGCTAGGGGATTTCACGTGGGGACTGATGGAATAAGGAGAATCAAGTATGACTCCTTAAATTTCTGGATTTGAATTGTTGGATGAATGGTGATGTCATTTACTGTATTAATGAAAAGTGGAAGAGGAATAGATTCAGTGAGAAAAAAGTCAATTCTTCTTAATGTTACATTCAAGATGGTTTTTTTTTTAGTATTGTATTTTATTAAATATATTTATATGTCACAAAAATTATTTTAGTGACAACTACCAGGAAAGTACAAAATCACTTAATAACTGGTTTTCTACACCTTGATTTGTCAAGATACTCATAGGCAAATGGAAAGTAATAAGTACTGACTGCCGTTACTTACTACAGTGAACAGTTTTGAGAACAAGAAGAAAACCTGTAACACTGAAAATTGCTTTATATCTCATTCACAGATCTCTTTAAAAGGTCTACTTTAAAAATAAATCACATAAAGAATTGTTCAGACGTGTTTGGTGATGCCTCAACTTCAGAACATTTGCAAGTAAATCACATGTAAAAGCAATTATCTCAATACAATGCAATCCTATTAAAGAAAAAAGTTCCCTTTAAGCATCAGAATCTCCTGAGGGAAGCTTGTTAAAATACAGAATGCTGGCCTCCTCCCCAGAGTTTGCTACAAGTTTGCAGGCCGTTCTGATGTTGGTGTGGGCACAACACTTTGAGAACCACCACTTTATGATCTAGTCTCTAGAATACAAACTAATAAGCAATGCTCATATGCCTTTGCTTTTTCTAATAGTAAATAAAAAGAACATTTCAGGTAGCTGCATCAAACTTTAAGCCTTTAGACTCTTGAAATGTTACCTTGGCTCACATAACTGTGAGTTCAAAAGACAGAACTAAAGGACAGTCCTGAATAATCTATGACTACATGAAAACATTTATTTACATGCCCTCTACAAAATGTAGTTAGAAAACATAGTAACTATTAGGTACACGACCTTGCTCCTATTTTCCCCATTGTTCTTCCTCCTTACAGAAAATTCAACATGAAATTATAAAGAGTACTGGACTCAGAATAAGAACTTCATCTGTCATAAATGTACACATAAATATCAGTGAATTGTCATACTCAAGACTCAGACTCAGGAACTTCTTCATCAGGGCAGCAGTAATATTCCACAAAGCATATTTGTCCATCTTCATTTCTAATCATATACTGTAATGAAAGGAAGTCTCTGTTATCTGTCCGAATAGATACCTTACAAGATAGGACTAATGCCTTTGTAGAGGGTTTCAGTAAAGAAATCTTGTATCTGTTGACTTGGGTTTGATTACAATGAAATGCTTCCATCAAATCAGAATCTTTGGGATAGTCAAGGTGGGAACTTCCTGCATTTCCAAAAGTAGATAACCTGAAATAAGGCTTGTCAGGAGACATTGTAATTTGTAGGACTTCACTCGTCATATCCTGAAAGGAATAAAAATTAGAAACTTAATAAAAATTAGAAACTTAAGTTAGGCCATTTTGAAACTTAGAAAAACAACCCACTCAGACCCACCCAACACCAGATGGCCACTCAGACCCACCCAACACCAGATGGCCCGTTAGTAAACACCCAATATCCCCGGAAGGCAAACAGAAAAATAATTCCAGGAAAAACCCCTCATACGAGCCCACCCCAACCAATCAGAGAACTAGCCTACCCCAACCAATCAGAAAAGACACACCCTGCTCGCACCATAGCTGGCTCCAATCATTTTGAACCTTAAGCCTTGTTTGAATCTCGCGCCTTAAGCTTTGTTTGAATTTCGCGCCTTGTTTGAACCGGTGGTGTTTGCCTATATAAACTACCTGTAACAAGCAATCGGGGTCCTTTGCCACCTTTGTGCAGAGGACCCTAGCGCGCTAGTAATAAATCTCTCTGCTGTGACTCCCGTGTTGAGTGGTCTCTCGAGACGACCCCTTATCCCAGAAAGGAATCTAAACCTAGGTTCCAACAATCCAATTCAGAAAATGCTTCATGGAGCCCCTCTGACTGCAGAATAATTTTATTATTAATAACATTGGTGCTGCAGAAATCAGAATCCAAGGTCTCCTCAGGTTCCTGCGTATTGATTTTGCAGACTGTTACCACTCCTCCTTCTTCCAGAAACAGCCTCAAAGGGTAACCATAACCTTGGTAACACATCCGAAGTGCAGTTAAAGTCCCTGAGTAAAAGCATTTGCTTGCACACACTTTGCATTTTCCACTGTTACTTTGATACCATTTTTAGCTGCGAAACATGTGGCATGCTCTCAGAAATGAAAAGCTTTCAAGATAGTGGAGATTCCTAACGTTGTCAAGGCTGGCCACAAGGCTGTACTGATCATCCTCATCTTGGATCTGCTGGGTCAGAAGGGACATTGTCCACTGCCCATTTGGCCTGGAGGGAAATGCTCCTGGGGCCAACAACTGCTCGGTGGATCGCGAAACACCTTTGCAGTGGGGTCTGGACTCCTGAGAGACTTTCCCAGGAAAGTCCCTGAGGAGGAGCTAGACGGCTCCGAGAAATCGCGGAGGAAGTGGAGCCGGTGTCAAGATGTTTTTTAGACAGCCAAGTGGAGATGTCAAGTAAATAGTAGATGATTCAAAATACAGAGAAAATGTTTGACTTGGGATATACATTTCTAAGTTATTAGCACATAACATATAGCACCAATGATCTAAGAAATTCATATAGTGTCAGACATCTTTCTGGGTTATTTGATGCTGTAGGATTTGTGCCTTTCAATGTCTTTGAGCTATTTAACAACTACAAATGTAATAGATAACTAAGAGCAATAATTCTTGTCTAGAGATATGCAAATTAGTTTTGTCAGATGGAAAGACAATTGAGTCTCGCATGCTCCAAATCAGTTTTGTATACATTTCTATATTTTGATCCTCCTATTACCAAATAGTCTTTGATCTTTTTCATAGTATTTATTCCTCTTTGAAATAATATTGCTTATTTAATAGTTTGATGATATATTTCCTGCTTCCTCTAACTAGAAGGTGAGGTCTAGAGAGTCAGAGTCATTACTTGTGTTTAGTTCACTATTGCAAACCAAGCAGATAAAAATGCCTGATATTAAAATAAAGTCTCAATAAGCCTTTTTTTTACATAATCTAATGATGGCATTTTTATTGCCTCTGGGAAAACAATCTTCAAAGAAAAAGAAGAGAACAAGAACATAGTCTAGTTGTTATGCATATGATCCCGGCTCTGCCCCTGACAATACATGTGACTTTCTGCAAGATACTTAACATCTCTGTACCTTAGTTTTCTCTTTCATATAATGAAGATAATAATTATACTCACCTCATTAGATTGTTATGAAAATTAAAATTGCAGTTTTTAAGTGCCTAGAAAAGTTCTTTATATCTAGTAAGTACTATATGTATTTGTTGGATAAATAGCAACAGAGTGGAAAACTCAAATTATATTTCAACGTTTTATGTATCTTTCCTTTTCAGTTTCAGTTCTTCCCTACCTGACAAGTTCTTTCAATGAAGAAGTATACAGTTGGGTCAAAGTACTTAGTCAATTTCTTTTATTTTAAATTTCCTGTTTCTTTATTTTATGCTCACATCTGTCATTATTCAAAGCAATTTTGAGGTGCAGTGTTTGGAGAGAGGGGAATGCATCCTTCATTTTGTGAGATATGTGTGCTCTAAATTATTTATAATGTTTATTGATCAACCAACATTCATTAGGTAGCTAGGACTCACATTTAGCATTTTGTAGATGGAGTGTTTTACTTACTTATTTTTTTTTTTAACTGGAGGAAGTTTTATTTTCAGGATTTTATTACATCTTGTCATTCTCTGAAGAGTAGTTTAAATTCTTTCTCTGCACATGACATTTTTCTAAAGAATTTTGCACTGGAGGAGCTTAGATTTTGTACTGTTGTGAACATCCTTGTCAAATCCTTTTTCATGACATTTCAGGTCTTGGAAAGCAGTGTTCAAAAACATATCAAACATTTGAGAAGATGTTGACATCCTTAAATGAGTCAAAACAACTTCCTCCTGTTTTTCCATAGTTATGTTATCTCTTCTGGGTTTAAAAAAAAAAAATAGCCTAGGGCGGGCTCTGGGCAAAAGAGTTAAGTTCAAAACCTCAGCCTTCCTTTTAAAACTCTTCAAATTTTGTGCCTTCTCTGTCTTTTAAAAATCATCTCTGATTACATTTTTCACGCAACTGCTTTTTTTTTTTTTTTTTTTTTTTTCAGTTTTATTGACTTACCAAGCTTCTTTTCTTTTACAATTCTGATTTCTTTTTCTTGCCTCTGGCTTTTTGCTCAAGCTGTTTCCTCTACCTAGAATGTTCTTTTCCCCATATAAACACAATACAAATAACACTCTCCAAGACGCCTGTCGAGATACAGCCAGGAATTTTATATGCCTCTCTTTCTTCTCTGTATCATGTTTGTAACTCTATCAAGGTTTTACCATTTGCCTTAAACCAAAATTTCTCCATTTATTTATCTGTGATTATTTATTTAATTGAGTGCTCCTGGCCTCGATTTATTTTTTCAGTTATTCTGGACTGCAGGCCGCTGTAGAATGTGTTCCCAAGGTGAGTTTTTGATACATGCCTGCTAAACATAATCATTCTGTATTGAACATGGAATCAATCTGCATTGAAGCTGAGTTCAGATATTGCCTATACTCCTACCATAGGTAAACTAACCTCTAGTGTTCATTATATTCATCTGTAAAATGAGAATAAAACCAACTAATTATAAAACTGTTCTGGGGATGAAATGAAATCATATTGCAAAAGTGGTGTTTAATCTGATTGCTGTAATTTATCTTCTGCTTTTTCCCCAAGTATTTTATCTCCTTTCTGGTGTCTTCTGGGCAGCAATTGCCATGCCGAACTTTTTCTTACTTTCATATTGAGTTTCTTCCTTTCCATTGATAAATTGCTGTGTGTATTTCTTAATGTAATATATGTCTTCATCTCTAATTTAAATGTTTTATTTAAAATTTAGAAATTCAATGATACTACCAAACATATTTGCTTATTTTAATCAATATGTAACACCATTGTAATGATTAGGGGAGTTGGGTGATAGTTTCACACAATGGTGATCAAAACAGCCGACCACAGGAATCTGCTGGTGATAGCTACCGATGTGCTTTTTTGCTAGTCTGGATTATAAAGAGATGGGTTGTGATTTTAAGAGAAGACTCTTAAGAATACAAAAACATTGGTGCATTAATGCATTTTTTCTTTTACTGCTTTGTTCCAAAAAGAAATGGGTAGATGAAGAAAAATCAAAGAAAATAATAAAATGTAGACCAGTCTCTTCAACTGCTTATTACGTAATTTAGTATAACATATTTGGGCAGTGAGGAGTTTGGAAATAGATTATTAAACCTTTGAAGAATTTTTAACTGTAATAACTGTTTTCTTTACTAATACCAATGATTGTTTTGATTCCATTACATGACAAGAAAAATAGATACCACACTGCCACTTTTTAGCTGTATGCTATTGGTTGGACAAGTTACTTAAACTCTCTATGCCTCAATTTAGTCCTTGTTAAAATAAGAGATAATAATTGGACCTACCTGATAGACTTTTGTTCTGAAGAATAATGAAATAATGGAGTATTTGAAAAGTACCTGGTGTAGAGTAGGTCCTGAAATGGACAGGAGATGGGGAAATACTGGGTAGAAGAGGGTGGTGGCCTGGCAAAGGACCCACCTTCAAGCCTGGAAACCTGTGGCAATAAATGGGAACAGGTATTTCTGTTTTTGCACCCAAATGTTGCTTTTTGGCCTGCCACACTCCCCTATCCTGTACTCACATAAACCCCAAGCCCCACGTTCCGTGAGCAGATAAGCAAAGGAACAGGAGAGCAAAAGAGCGGCAGAATGGTGTGGCAGAGAAGGAAGGAAGAGAAGGAGCATTCAAACGTCTAGAGGGGTTCAACTGGGGATAGTTGGAGAGGAGATTGGCCACTGGATGGCAAAACTCTAGGGGAAGGTTATCTTCACACTCCGTCCTCTTTCCAGCTCCCCATCCCTCCTACTGAGAGCCACCTCCATCACCCAATAAAACCTCCACATTCACTATCCTTCAAGTCCATGTGTGAACTGATTTTTCCTGAATGTTGGACAAGAGCTCAGGATTTAGAGAGCTGTCATGCTTTCCCTCTGCCCTTGTGAAAAAGCCAAGGGTCCACTGAGCTGTTTAACACTTAAGCCATTCATGGACGGCAAAACTAAAAGAGTGCACTGTAACTCACACGCCCACTTGGGCTTCAGGAGACGGAGGCATCCACCCTTAGATGCTACCGTGGGGTCAGAGCCCCCAAAAAGCACTTGCTCTGGCTTTTGCACCTGCCCATCTGCATGCTACCCCTCCTGTGAGGGAGTTGAGCTTACAAGGTGGTGGCCTAACAGACGAGCCACACCCCTATCACTCACCCTGCAAGGGGGGTCAGGGAACTGTCCTGTTTTAGTGCTGTACAAGTTTTGCTATCATAATTATAATGATAACAACTCTTATCATGCCCAAATTAAGCTAATCCCAAAATTCAAGACAACTGAGAAAAGTTTCAGGAAAGTTATGATCCTATAAAAAGCCCCAGGTGAAAACATTCTTTTAGATTTAAGTGCAAGGAAAGACAGCATTGCTTTCTCTGAAGAATGTCTGTGTTTTCTTCTGTGTTTCCCTTTTTTTTTCTTTGCCATCGGGAAGTGTCAAAATAAAATTCACATTTAGCTGTAGCAAAGTGTTGAATCTCAAGCCTGCATATTTTAATTTTATTCTTACAGCCCTATTACAAATTTTAATTTTATTTTATATCATATTTATATTTTAATCTTTTTATTATGTTTATTGCAATTTACATCAATTTGTCTATTCACCAAATATATGTTGAATACATTTAAATACTTATACTCTGTTAGATGTCAGGGGTTCAAATAGTAGTGAGAAATGTAAAACAAAAGAGCCAGGGGAAAAAGAGCTCTGCATCAATTGAAACTGTGGTCTAGTTAAAGGGACTGTTACTAACATTTGATCACACACATGAATTTGAAAATTTAATAACTATAAGGAGTGGATGCATGAAAGTATGGGAGGAATAAATGACCCACTTAGAAAATCCAAGGAAGATATATCTAGAGAATTGGTGTCTTAGTTAGATCTAATAGAAGACATAAGATTTATAAAAACAAATTTGAGTGTTGTGTGTATATATATGCTTGATGCATTTCAGGCATTGGAAAAACATTTACCTACTTCTTGTG